AAAAAAAAAAAGAAACTCTTTGCATCAAAAGCAAATATTGGTGGAGTGCCTATTATAGGCCAAGCGTTGCACCAGGCAGGTGCCGGGAATGAAAAGACAATGAAGTACTCATAGTCTGGGAGGATGGGCAGCAGCACAGACTAAGGTCAGTGTTGAGTACTGGGGAAGCAGAGGAGGGAGAAAAGAGGGCTCCCAGTTCAATTTGAATTTTAGATAAACCATGATCACATGGGAAATACTTATACAAAGAAATTATTCTTTGTTTACCTGAAGTTCCAATTTAGGTGGACATCTTTTATCTGAGAACCCTACGCCTGAAGTGAATTTTGTCACAGGCAGGAAAGGTAGGAGTATGAAGGGGGTCGATGGCAGAGGTAAAGCTAGAAAGGCAGGCAGAGTCTGTGCTTTACGGATCCTGCTAACGAGTTTGGGCTTTATTCTAAGGGCAGTGAGGAGCTGTGGAAGCATTTTCAGCCGGGGCGTGATGTGGTAAGCTTTGTATTTTCAATAGTTACCTTTGGAGTAGTGTACATGATGGATCAGGGGAATCAGTTAGGAAGCTGTTGGAATAAGGTGACACGGGATTATAATATGGTGGGAACAGATGGAGGTGCGGAAGCCCCAACCCAGAGAGCACGCGAGGGAAGAGATGCTGTAAAACAGCGTGTCTTGGGCGCCTGGGTGGCTCAGTCGGTTAAGTATCCAATTCTTTTTTTTTTTTTTTTTTAACATTTTTTTATTTATTTTTGGGACAGAGAGAGACAGAGCATGAACGGGGGAGGGGCAGAGAGAGAGGGAGACACAGAATCGGAAACAGGCTCCAGGCTCTGAGCCATCAGCCCAGAGCCCGACGCGGGGCTCGAACTCACGGACCGCGAGATCGTGACCTGGCTGAAGTCGGACGCTTAACCGACTGCGCCACCCAGGCGCCCCAAGTATCCAATTCTTGATTTCGGCTCAGGTCATGATCTCATGGTTGGTGGGAGTGAGCCCTGCATCGGGCTCTGTGCTGACTGACAGTGTGGAGCCTGCTTGGGATTCTCTCCCTCTCCCTCTGTCTCTGCCCCTCCCCCGGCTCTTGCACGCTCTCTCTCTCTCTCTCTCAAAATAAACACACTTAAAAATAAAAGCATTTCTCAGAGTGTTGACTGAAATCTGCCTGCATCAGAACCACCTGTGGAATTTGTTTAAAATGCAAGCTGCTGCCCCCCCCCCCCCCCCCCCCCCC